CCTGCACGAGGAGATCTGGCTGCGCCGCCCACCTGGCTTTACTGGGTCGTTTCCTCCTGGTACCCAGTGGAGCCTCCGCCGGCCAGTCTACGGTCTCCGCCAGGCGCCACGAGAGTGGCACGACACACTGAGGACTACACTTGCGGCTCTTGGGTTCGCGCCGTCTACTGCTGACCCGTCGCTGTTTCTGCGCACAGACACGTCGCTGCCGCCGTTCTACATTCTTGTGTACGTCGACGACTTGGTCTTTGCTACTGCTGACACTGAGGCACTCGCTCGTGTGAAGTCGGAGCTGTAGAAGAGACACACCTGCACTGACCTGGGTGAACTGCGTAGCTACCTTGGCTTGCAGATCACCCGGGACAGAGCTCGCCGCACCATCACCCTGACTCAGTCACACATGGTGCAGCAGGTCCTTCAGCGCTTCGGCTTCCAGTTCTCCTCACCACAGGCCACACCTCTGGCTACCAGCCACTCGCTCTCAGCTCCACCTTCGGACGAGTCCGTAGAGCCGAGTGGCCCGTACCCAGAGCTTGTAGGCTGCCTCATGTACCTGATGACTTGCACGCGACCTGACCTCGCGTACCCTCTTAGCATCCTTGCTCGTTACGTTGCGCCTGGGAGACACAGGCGAGAGCACTGGGAGGCGGCTAAGAGGGTGCTGCGTTACTTGTGCAGTACATCAGGCATGGGGCTGGTGCTTGGAGGACGCGACAGAGTTGTCCTCACTGGTCACTCGGACGCTTCTTGGGTGGACGACCTGGCTACGCAGCGGTCGTCACAGGGTTACACCTTCAGCCTTGGCTCTGGTTCTGTCTCGTGGCGGTCCACCCGCTCTTCCTCTGTTCTCGGCTCTAGTTGTGAGGCTGAGATCTACGCCACAGCCATGGCTGCGCAGGAGTTACGCTGGCTCACCTACCTGCTGACTGACTTGGGAGAGCGGCCTAGTTCTCCTCCAGTTCTGTACGGTGACAACAAGGCGGCTCTTGCCTTGTGTCAGGAGCACAGACTGGAGCACAGGACGAAGCACATTGCTCTTCGCTACTTTCTTGCTCGAGAGCTTCAGCAGCGCGGTCAGCTTCGGCTTGTGTACGTGGACTCGAAGGCCAACACTGCTGATATCTTCACCAAGGCGCTCCCGCCTAGTGATCATCAGCGGCACTGTACTTCTTTAGGCCTTGTGTCCACGTTTCCTCACTTGCTCACTGCTTGACATTTTTTGTACTGTACTTTATATATATCTTGTTGCTTGCTTGCTAGGTTTTGATCACTGTGTTGCTTGTCTTGTACTATATCTAGCACTGCATGTGAACTGGCCTTGTGGCCTTTACTTGTGCTCGGAGTGTGGTGACGTTGTGATCCACCCTGGGCTTTGCTTTGCTTTGCTTTGCTGGACTGGTCTTGTGACCCTTTGTTCTCCCCCACTTTGCCTATGGGGGTGTGTTAAACTGTAGTATGCTTGTAGGCTGTAGTGGGGTAGCCAATATGGGGTACAACCCCAACTAGGGTTTCATATTTGTACCCAAACTTCTGCTAGTTCATTCATTCTTGGCTAGTTATTCTGAAAGTGGGTTCCGCCTCCGTTACCGGATGCGGTCGTGATGCCGATGCCATCTTTTTCGTTCAAAATTTCGATTTGCTGGCGAACAGCACCGTTGAGTTGGGGTAGGGGACGAAGGGATTGGGGAAGGTGCAAAAAGTGGGAGAGCATACGTACAGTAAAACTTGGGCTGGCAGATTGTTGCTTCTTGAAGAGGTTCGGTTCTTGGTCTGATTTGCAACTGTTTGATGAAAACAAGCGACGGGAAATAGAGGCATGAGTGTTATACATTGAAACACAAACAAATATGGGCGAATTGAAAAGGAGACGAAACCGGGGTACTAGGTAAAAAAAAAAAAAACGACACACACAAACTCTTTTTGGAAGCTAGTGTTACGTGAGACACATACGTAATGACGTCACACATCCAACGACGTGCCTAACATCAAAACAACCACTGTATTATACTAATCTGTTGCCTATAGACATCACTGCTAAAAGCAGCAATTATACACAGAAATTATAAATTTTAAACACACGAAGTATTTTTCAAAATTACGTATTTCAAAAGCGAAACTGATCGTAACGCATGTTTTGGCATCGTCGAAGCGCGCTAAACGCCCTTCTCCAACTACAAATCGTGGGTTGGAGCTCATTTCCCTCCACCCACGTCTCTGTATCTTTCAACGGAATCGGGGGTGACGCTCCGTTTTGCCCGGGGTGACGCTCGGGGGTGCCGCTTCCGGGAGCGTCACCCTGCCTCGGGCAGGAAAAAACTAAACCCCGAAGCGGCCCGCATGTCATTCGGGAGCCTCAACCCTAAAATTTTAGGGTTGAGGCTCCCGAATGGCATGCCATCCTTCTGGGGTTTATTTTTTTTTGCCCCGGGCATTTTGTCGTCTTGTCGTGTCGTCTTTCTTGCCCCGTATGTAGTGTTAGGAGCCATAGCTAGGAGAGTCCTAGCTAGGCAAGAGACAGTTTAGGCAAAAGAAGAGGGTTTTCACTAGCAGCAATGAGGATACATATAGCAAACCCTAGATGGGTTGTACTCGCTACAGAGCACCCCACTACAGGCTAGAGAATAACATTCTGACAAATTTTCCAACAGCTCATGCAACTCTACTTTCTCGAGCTCACTTCTAGTTTTGCTGTTCAAGCTGGCGAGAACTCGCTCATTACCTAGAGGTGTTTCCCCTTCAACTTTATTAGTCGCCATCCTTTACCAGAACGGCTCAACTGTGGCTACGACGCCGACGCTTAACCGTGCTAACAACAACGTCGCCAACGACCCGATAATTTCCGACAACAATCGGAACGCCCGTGAAACGACGGGCGAGCGTCGCAACAAGCGCCGGGCAGACGGCGAAACATCCGCCCCGACCGCCGTGGACGTGCTGCTGGGCGGGCTCGAACAGGGCTGTCGATTGGTTCCAGGCCAACACTTGAGAGTCTGAGGTGCCCGTATTTCAGCCCTGAAATCTCCGGGAAGTGTCCTTTTCCGAGCCTTTAAGCGTCCGGGAAAGCACCCAACCAAAAACTTAAATTCAGGGCTACACTACAACAATCAGGGCACTCTATATAACGAAAACTAATAAAGGCAGAGTTAATTTAGAACTGCTATCTACCTATATCTTTCTCAACACTAATAACTAAGTGGCAGGCTTGCGGCGCTTCTCCCGGTCGAAGATCTGGTACACACGTGCCCAGTCCACGTCGTAATCTAGCATTTTCACGGTAGGCTGGGATAAGTTGGGATGGGATGGGTTGGGATGGAAAGGGAAAAACGGGAAGGGAGAGGGGGGGTAGGAAGGGTTGTGAAAGTTTCCGGGTAAGGCCGGAAACTTCCGCGGGGAATCAGGGAAACCCTCCAAGAGGCCCCTGTAAGAATCAGGGGAAGGCCCAGCCCACGCCCGTTATCATTCCGGGCTGTACAAAAAATCAACCCTGAGAATCTGGACTTTGGGGCAAAGTCAGACCTTAATGTTCAGGGCATTAAGGCCATATGCCCTTGAATCGACAGCCCTGGGCTCGAAGTCAACAAAAACGCTGAGCAGTATCCCCAGCACCCTTCGGCGCCTGTGGCACCTGTGGCGCCAGTGGCGAACGTGGCGACACACGCCACGGACGCGGAGCACGCGCCAGCGGCAAACGCCTCTGGCCGGACCGTCGCGTCAGCGCCAGAGGCGCCGTACGGCCGCCTCGTCTGACGCGACGGCGGACAAGGCCTTGACCGAGGCGTTGACCCCGTACCAAGTCAAGGCCCTCCTGTTCCTGTTACAGCAGCGCCCCGCTAGCGCGATCGCCGCCGAAACTACACAACCTGCACCATCTGCATCGGCTAAAAACGACATTGCAAAAAAGGAGAAAGGAGCAAAAGGACCGTCAACGCGCCGCCACGACAAGGAGGCGGTTACAAGTGCTCCTGAAGCTGCAGCGGTCAAAAACGACTCCAACGACTCAGACGACGACGCCGGTGAGGCTCCTAACAACGCAAAAAAATTTGCCTCTATGGAAAATTCCCCCCCCCCCCCCCCCCCCCCCCCTCCCTTCCACTAACCCCATTTTTTCGGCGGCAAACTTCATCGACCCGATCGTGCGAGCGAAAGTGGAGCACCTGAGGACCTACCTGAAACACGCGGAGTACAAACTGCAGCGCGGCGATGCGGCGGGCGGTGAAATGGTCGCGAGCGCCCTCGACTACATTTCGGAGCTCTACGAAATGCTTCAAGTCGAAGACGCCACCGACGATCGCGTCGCCAAGCGGTTCAAGATGTACCAGCAGAAGAGCCTCCTTGCCTCTCGCCCGTTCAAGCAAGCTGTCGCCGACGTGGCGGCAATGAATCGCGCGGAGGGTGCGCACGCTCGATCCCACCGCGTCGGAGGTCGCGGGCCGATGGCGTTCAACCCCAAGCATGGCCCGCCTATGGGTAGCTTCCACGGCTTCCGTGGAACGTGCTTCCGCTGCGGCCAGCCGGGGCACGTGGCAAGTGGCTGTCCGCGGAATGGCAATGGTGGCCAAGGACCCGCACCCGTGGTATAGGGATGGTCCTTGAGCGTTTGTGCCTATGGGTAGCTTCCACGGCTTCCGTGGAACGTGCTTCCGCTGCGGCCAGCCGGGGCACGTGGCAAGTGGCTGTCCGCGGAATGGCAATGGCGGCCAAGGACCCGCACCCGTGGTATAGGGATGGTCCTTGAGCGTTTGCGCCTTAACGCTCGTGGCACGGTGCATGTCAAGTGCGTTGACCGTGGGCAACCCAAAGGGGTTTGCGATGGCTATGTGCCAAGCCCTAGGAAGGGGTGATGATTAGGCTTTAGGCCTAGGAGGTGGGAGAGGGAACAGAAAGCCCTTTGGTCCCTTAACTTGGCCCGCGCGGATGCATGCTAGGAAGCATGGCTTTGTGTGGCCCGTTTCGTATAAGGGCGTTATTTTTAAAGAAGTACTTTCTGATCTTGGCTTTGGATGACAAAAGAAAAAAAAAAAAAAAAAAAAAAAAAAAAAAACAGGGAGAGACGAAATGGCAAGCACCCACACGAACCCGAACAAGCAGCCCCACCATTCGTCGGCATGGGCAGCCTTTGTCTTGGCCACGGGCCAACGGGCATGTCATGGCAAAAGGGAAAGCAAGAGCAAATGCACAGAGTGAACGAGAGCAAGAGAGAGAGAGAGAGAGAGAGAGAGAGAGAGAGAGAGAGAGAGAGAGAGAGAGAGAGAGAGAGAGAGGGGAGAGGGAGAGAGAGAGAGAAAGGAGGCGAATCGCATTACGCGGACACCATGGGTGACAAACGGTGATTATGACTTGTTGATGTGTCTATACGCACGCGTTTCTTGCAGGCACATTCCTTGAGGCACGATGGCTTGTATTCTAACACATCTGCTCCATTGTCACTCGACAAATATGCAGAGGTAACACGATACGAGACGCAAGGCGACGGAGATCCATACGAGTTCGCCGTCACTGACAAATATGTCATGCAAATGCGCGGGCGGCTTCGCGCAACCCTTGCATGGTGGAGCTCATGGGGCCCCAGCAGTCTCATCCTCTCCGTCATCGCTAACGGTTACTGGCTGCCATGGAGCTACAACCCACCACAACCGTTTCACGAGCGCAACCATCTCGGGCCGCACACACATGCTGCGTTCACACGCATTGCCATTCGCGAACTTACAGAGACTGACGCGGCGGTGGTCACCCCAGCAACGGAGCTCACATGCATAAGCCCACTTAACGTGGTTGAGCAACGAGAGAAATGCAGCTTAATTCTCGACCTCAGGAAAGTGAACGAGCACCTGATCATCCCTAAATTCAAATACTAAGGCCTAAGCCGTGTGGCCGACCTGGCACGCATGGGAGATTGGATGTTTTCCATCGACCTCAAATCGGGATACCACCATATTGACATACACAACTCTTGCTGGAAATTCCTTGGCTTCGAATTTGAAGGGCGCACGTACGCCTTCCATTCACTACCCTTCGGCCTCGCCACGGCACCATTTGTCTTCACGCAGCTCATCAAACAACTAGCCAGGCGCTGGCGTGAACGAGGCGTTCGAGTGATACCCTATGTGGACGACATCCTGTTCTTCTGCACGTCTAAGGCACACGCACAACCAACATGCCAGCAGATAATTTCAGACCTCAAGATGGCGGGCTTGGTGATTAACGCGAAAAAGTCGCAGGTGTTACCATCACATCATCTGCGATTCTTGGGCGTCGAGCTGGACACCAAATCTGGAGAATTCTACAACCCTCCCCACCTAGCTGGGCCCCACATATCCAAGCACACATTCCCCTAACGCACGGCAGCCAATGCTTAGCAGTAGGAACGCACCGCACCGCTTTCTCAGGCACAGTATTGCCTCATAGTCCAATTGTCGCATCACGAGTGGTCTTCAACTAATCCATCTCGTCCTCATTCGCGCAGACGTACTGCCAAAGCTACAAGTCCAACTTCTAAAGATGCTCCCACAGTCTCATGCCGACTCAACGATCCAAACATACGAGCCACACTGGGTCAAGTTTCGAGCCTTCTGTGCAAAGGTGAACCCCCCATTCCTCCCCGCGACTGACATGACCCTCGCACTGTACTTGGTGTACGCCATCAAACGCAAGGCCACCCTATCCATGGTACAACTCACATGCTCAGCCGTGAGCTTCGCCCACCGCATGACTGGGAGCACATGCCCAACGGCAGGATCATTCACCACTCAAGTACGCGACTTTGCGAAAAGACATTGTCTTCGCCCAACGAGAGTGAAGGAGCCCGCCTTGTCAAACATATATGCTGCTTATTGTGTAGGCTGTAGTGGGGTAGCCCATATGGGGTACAACCCAGATTAGGGTTTCCTACTTGTACCCATCATGCTGCTAGTTCATTCATTCCTGCCTAGACTTCTGACATGGTATCAGAGCAGTAGGTCCGTAGGACCGTTTTTTTTTCGGGCCCACCTACCGTTGTGGTTACTGAGCTGCCCCACGTGTTGTCTGCGCTGCGCCGACCGCGCGCGCCTTGCCGTGCCTGCGCTGCGCTGCCCGCGCGCGTCTTGCCTTGCCTGCGCTGCGCTGCCCGCGCGCGCCTTGCCTTGCCTGCACCTTGCCTTGCCTTGCCTGCGCCGCGCCTTGCCTTGCCTGCGCCTTGCCTTGCCTTGCCTGCGCTGCGCCGCCCGCGCGCACGCCCTGCCCTGCCCCGCGTTGCGCTGCCCCGCGCACGCCGTGCCCTGCCCCGCGTTGCGCTGCCCCGCGCACGCTCTGCTCTACCTGGCGTCGCACGCCCCTGCAGCCCGTCGCGTCGCCCGTCTGCCCTGCCTCTGCCCGTCGCGTCGCCCGTACGGGCTGTCCCAGCCCGTCGCGTCGCCCGTCTGCCCTGCCTCTGCCCGTCGCGTCGCCCGTACGGGCTGTCCCAGCCCGTCGCGTCGCCCGTCCGCCTTGCAGCCCGCGCGTCGCGCCTCTGCTGCCCCGCGCGTCGCGCCCTACGGCAGCCCGCGCGCCGCGCTCTGCAGCCCCGCGCGTCGCGCTCTGCTGCAGCCCGCGCGTCGCGCCCTGCTGCCCTGCACGAAGCGCGCCCTGCTGCTCGCGCCGCCCAGGCCGAGCCGAGCCGCCCTACCCGACCCGATCCGCCCTCCTGCTCGTGCTACTACTGCTGCTGCTAGGAGTGCTGGAGGTGCTGCAGCCTAGCCTCACCGGGCCGCTCTACTGCTCTTACTGCTGTTGCTGCTGCTCGTGCTGCTGTCTTCCCTCCGTACCGCCCTCCTCCTCGCACGCCTCCTTGCTTACCCGCTATGACTTCCCTTCGTAGTAGCGGTGGGAGTGGTGGCGGCGGCGGTGGCGGCAGTGGGAGTGGTGGCGGCGACCATAGTTGCAGTCGCGGTGGAGCTGTTCAGTGCGGAGTTTCTGGCGGTGGCGAGATCCAGCTGCAGCGGCGTCCGAGCGAGACCCTTCCACCCCAGCAGCTTCATGCGTGGTACGCTCAGCGTTGTGCGTCTCGGAGAGGTGGCGGCGGCCGTAGTAGCAGTCGTGGTGGAGCTGGTCAGTGCGGAGTCTCTGGCGGTGGCCAGATGCAGCTGCAGTGGCGCCCGCGCGAGACCCTTACGCCCCGGCAGCTGCATGAGTGGTACGCTCAGAGTTGGGGGTGTAGGACTACTGCTCGCTGCCCGTACGTTATTCGCACAGGTGATCGAGCTGGTCAGACTTGCGGGACAGTTAGTCACACAGAGTCCCGCTGCTTCTCCCGTCTGAGCGACGCTTGGCGAGCACGGTTTGGCGACGAGACTGAGCTACCCCTCTGGCTAGAGCTGCTTCAGGACGGAGTAGATATATTTGCCTTAGACTATGACACTATCCTTACTGCCATGTATGTTTTGACTGGTACTTCTGAGGGTGACTGTTACCTGTGTGTGCCCCCTGACCCTGGTATAGCGGCTGCTGCTCTAGGTGCTAGTGAGTCTGCTCTCTCTGGTACTGCACCTGCTGAGGCCTTGCACACCTTTACACTTGACTCTGGTGCTTCCCGCTGTTTCTTTCGCGACAGTACCACGGTCACACCCCTCCCTGCACCTGTCCCTGTCTCACCACGGGCCAAGTGCTTGCACGGTCTACCACTGTGCTTCCATGTATGGCGGTCCCGTCTGGTGAGCTGTCTAGTCTCCACATCCCCTCCTTCAGGATCATTGGGTTGACACCTTTACTCCTGGAGGACAGCGTGTGGCGATCTGTACGTGCTCTAGGACTGGCCGCCACCTGGCCACGTTCACACGTGCGCCAGGGTCCAGTCTGTACACCCTCACCACTGTGTCGCGCTACACCCCTGTGTCTCCTCAGCTGTACGCGTCCGCTCAGGTAGCTACCCAGTGTGAGTGTCGCCGCCTGTCGCACGACACTCTCCTGTGGCACCACCGCCTTGGTCACCCCTCTCTACCCCGCCTTCGTGGCATGCACTCTCGCCTACTGGTCTCTGGCCTTCCCAGGTCTCTGCCCGCCCTCCCTCCCTCGCCTGCCCCGCTCTGCATTCCTTGCGTCGAGGGGCGGCAGCGCGCCGCTCCTCACTCCTCCTCGTTCCCTCCCACAGAGGCTCCACTGCAGACTCTCCACCTGGACGTGTGGGGCCCAGCCCGCGTCCAGGGGCAGGGCCGCGAGCGGTACTTCCTGCTGGTCGTCGACGACTACACGCGTTACACCACAGTCTTCCCCTTGCGCAGCAAGGGTCAGGTCCCTGATGTTCTGATCCCCTGGATCCGCGCTGTTCGTCTCCAGCTCCGCGAGCGGTTTCAGTCGGACTTTCCTGTCTTGCGTCTGCACTCTGACAGAGGTGGTGAGTTCACCTCCGACCTCTTGCGAGCCTTCTGTGAGGAGCACGGCATCCGCCAGTCGTTCACGCTTCCGGCCTCTCCGCAGCAGAATGGGTTGCTGAGCGCCGCATTGGCTTAGTCATGGAGGTCGCTCGTACCTCCATGATCCATGTGGCGGCTCCCCATTTTCTGTGGCCGTTTGCGGTCCGGTACGCCGCGCATCAGCTCAACCTCTGGCCCCGTGTCTCCTTGCCGGAGACCTCGCCCACACTGCTGTGGACGGGGGAGGTTGGCGATGCGTCGCGCTTCCGGGTCTGGGGTGCTCGTGCCTTTGTCCGCGATCTCACCGCGGACAAGCTCTCTGCCCGCGCCATTCCCTGCGTCTTCCTTGGTTTTCCTCCTGACGCGCCTGGCTGGCAGTTTTACCACCCCACCTCACGCCGTGTCTTTGCGTCTCAGGACGTCACTTTTGACGAGTCCGTCCCCTTTTACCGTCTCTTTCCCTACCGCACTGCCCCTCGCCCCCCCCCCGCCGCTCTTTCTCGCTCCAGGTCCTTCCCAGGTAGACCCCCTCCCCGCGCCAGGTCCTGCTCCTTCAGGTGTTTCTCAGGTAGATCCTCCTGTGCCTGCGCCTGTTGAGGTCACTGGTGACTCAGGTCCTGCTGGGGGTAGTCCTGCTCGGGGTGCTGTCTCTGGGGGTGCTGAGCCTGGGGGTACGGAGCCCGAGCGAGAGGAGCCTGGGGGTGCTGAGCCTGGGGGTGCGGAGTCTGGGGGTGCTGTGCCTGAGCGTGAGGAGCCTGGAGGTGCTGAGCCTGGGGGTGCCGAGTCTGAGGGTGCTGAGCCTGCGTGTGAGGGGCCTGAGGGTGCTGAGCCTGGAGGTACTGAGCCTGAGCGTGAGGAGCCTGGGGGTGCTGAGTCTGGGGGTGCGGCGCCTGAGGGTACTGCGACTGCTGGTGCGCGGTCTCCTTGGAGTGGCCGCCTTCGTCCGCGTACGCCTCTCACCTCACAGCAGCTGCACGAGTGGTACGGTCGCCGTCAGGGTCGCGCTGCTGGGGCTCGGGGCTCTACTGCTGGAGGTACTTCTGCTGACGTCACTGGAGCTGGGAGTGGTGCTGGTTCTTTGCTTGCTGGAGGTGCTGAGCCTGTGCGTGCGGAGACTGGAGGTGCTGTGCCTGGGGGTGCTGCGTCCGGGGGTGCTGAGCCCGAGAGTGCTGAGTCTAGGGGTGCGGCGCCTGCGGGTACTGAGACTGCTGGTGCGCGGTCTCCTTGGAGTAGCCGCCTTCGTCCGCGTGCGCCTCTCTCCCCGCAGCAGCTGCACGAGTGGTACACTCGCCGTCAGGGTCGCGCTGCTGGAGCTCGGGGCTCTACCGCTGGAGGTGTTTCTGCTGTCGTCGCTGGAGCTGGGAGTGGTGCTGTGTCTACAGGAGGTGCTGGAGTCGCTGGTCCCGGAGGTGCTCGTACTGGAGGTACTGGAGCTGCTGGGGCTGGAGGTGCTGCGTCTTGGGGTGCTGCTGCTGGAGACACTGAGGCTGGAGACCCTAGGACTGGAGGTGTCCGTTCTGGGGGTGCTGTTGCTGGAGACACTGAGGCTGGCGACCCTAGGACTGGAGGTACTGGTTCTGGGGGTGCTGCTGCTGGTGGTGCTGGCGCTGGAGGTTCTGGAGCTGCTGGAGGTGCTGGAGCTACTGGAAGTGCTGGAGCCACTAGAGTTGCTGGAGCTGCCGGTGCTGGTGCAGCTGCGCCGACACGACTGTTCTTCGCTCCGCCGTCTCCGTCGTCTCTGCCGCCGCCTGACTCTGTTCTTCGTCAGGTTCTTACCCTTCCGTCGTCTACTGGTCTTCCGTTACTGCCTGGCTCACCGCTCCCTGCTCCTCCTCCTTACACTGAGCAGCCTGGTGGTCTTGCTGAGCGTCGTGCGCCTGCGTCGCGTCCTGTCTCGCCTGTTCGTCCTGGTCGTTCCGGTCGTCGTGTTCCTCGTTCGCGTCAGCCGGCTGTCCCCGGTACACACCTCGTAGTCCGTCGTCTTTCCTCTGCTCCGCAGTCTGTTCCTCTGCCGTCTCCCCCTACGTCCTCTCTGCCTGACGTTGCCGACCCTGAGTCTGACCCGTTTCGTGCTGAGCACCCTACTGTCACGCGTCTGCTTGCCACTGTTGTCACTGACCCGTCCTTTGAGTCTGCTGCTGCGTCTGCCTTAGTCGCTGAGCTTGTTGACTTTGCTGCTGCCTGTCGTCTAGACTACGCTGCTAGCCTTGTTGCTGAGTCTGAGTCTGTATGTCCTCCGTCCGTCGGGGGTGAGTGTGCTCTTGGCACGGACGTCCTTGAGGACAGGCAGGAGGACCTTGAGTGTCTTGCAGCCGCTGCGCCTCATCTCGTGGCCATGCTGCTTGCCCCTGAGGGAGACCCGGATGCTGTAGACATCTCGACCCCGCGCTCTTACGCTGAGGCGATCGCAGGTCCCTACTCCTCTCAGTGGCAGGCAGCCATGGACGCAGAGATGGCATCTTGGAAGTCCACAGGCACTTACGTCGATGAGGTTCCCCCTCCTGGGGTGAACATCGTCGATGGCATGTGGATTTTCAGGGTGAAGCGGCCGCCGGGTTCTCCGCCTGTCTTCAAGGCTCGTTACGTTGCTAGAGGCTTCAGTCAGCGTGAGGGAGTTGACTTCTTCCAGACCTTCTCCCCTACCCCGAAGATGACCACTCTTCGGGTGCTGTTGCACGTTGCCGCTCAGCGTGACTACGAGCTTCACTCTCTTGACTTCAGCACAGCTTTCTTGCAGAGCAGCCTGCACGAGGAGATCTGGCTGCGCCGCCCACCTGGCTTCACTGGGTCATTCCCTCCTGGTACCCAGTGGAGCCTCCGGCGGCCAGTCTACGGTCTCCGCCAGGCACCTCGTGAGTGGCACGACACACTGAGGACTACACTTGCGGCTCTTGGGTTCGCTCCTTCGACTGCTGACCCGTCGCTATTTCTGCGCACCGACACTTCGCTGCCGCCGTTCTACATCCTCGTGTACGTCGACGACTTGGTCTTTGCCACTGCTGACAGTGAGGCTCTCGCCCTGGTGAAGTCGGAGCTGCAGAAGAGACACACATGCACAGACTTGGGTGAGCTGCGCAGTTACCTTGGCTTGCAGATCACCCGGGACAGAGCACGCCGCACCATCACACTGACTTAGTCACACATGGTGCAACAAGTTCTTCAGCGCTTCGGCTTCACCTGGTCCTCCGCACAGTCCACTCCTCTTGCTACAGGCCACTCACTCTCAGCTCCACCTTCGGACGAGTCCGTAGAGTCGAGTGGTCCTTACGCAGAGCTAGTGGGCTGCCTCATGTACCTGATGACCTGCACTCGACCTGACCTTGCGTACCCTCTTGGCCTTTTGGCTCGCTACGTGGCTCCTGGTCGGCACCGAAAGGTGCACATGGATGCTGCAAAGAGGGTACTGCGCTACTTGTGCAGTACATCGGGCATGGGGCTCGTGCTTGGAGGACGGAGCGACGTTGTCCTCACTGGGCACTCAGACGCTTCTTGGGTTGACGACCAGGCTACGCAGCGGTCGTCACAGGGTTACACCTTCAGCCTTGGCTCTGGCTCTGTTTCTTGGCGTTCTACTCGCTCGTCTTCTGTTCTCAGCTCCAGTTGTGAGGCTGAGATCTACGCCACAGCCATGGCTGCTCAGGAGTTGCGCTGGCTCACCTACCTGCTGACCGACTTGGGAGAGAGGCCTCGTTCTCCTCCAGTTCTGTACGTCGACAACAAGGCTGCCATTGCCTTGTGTGAGGAGCACAGACTGGAGCACAGAACGAAGCACATCGCTCTGCGTTACTTTCTGGCTCGAGAGTTGCAGCAGCGTGGTCAGCTTCGTCTTGCTCACATGGCCACCAGGGCCAACACTACTGATATATTCACCAAGGCACTTCCGCCTGGTGATCATCAGCGCTTTTGTACTTTGTTGGGCCTCGTGCCTACGTTTCCTCACTTGCTGTAGGCTTTGCTTGTACTGTGATCTATGTATATATACCTGCATGCTTGCTCTTGCTAAGTAGTGATCACTGTACTGTGTTGTTGCATATATACCTCTGCATGTGAACTGGCCTTGTGGCCCTTTGCTTAGGCTCAGAATGCGTGGTGACTTTGTGATCCACCCTGAGCTTGCTTTGCCTTTCTTGACTGGTCCTGTGACCTCTTGTTCTCCCCCACTTTGCCTATGGGGGTGTGTCAAACATGTATGCTGCATATTGTGTAGGCTATAGTGGGGTAGCCTGTCAAACATTATGCATGTTGTAGCTTTGTAGGCTACAGTGGGTTTAGCCTTAGGGGGTACACAACTTTAGGGTTTCATATTTGTACTCCCATTCCTGTTAGTCACATTCATTCTCGTTCTATTCTTCACATGGTATAGAGCAGGTTCCCTCGTGGGAACTGTTCCTAGGGCCCACCGACTTTTTTTTTTCCTGCCCGGAGCGCACTCCGCCCCTGCCCGAGTCGCGCTCCCCTCTCACTGCCCCTAGCGGCCCGTCGCGCCGCCTTTGCGGCCCCGTCGCGCCGCCCTTGCGGCCCCGTCGCGTCGCCCTCGCGGCCCCTTCTCGCCGCCCTCGCGGCCCCGGCGCCGCCTCTGCTGGCCCCGTCGCCCTACCCTCGCGACCCCGCGGCCCCACCCTCGCGGCCCCGGCGTCGCCCATCGCGGCTTCGTCGCAGCCGCCTGCGACCCCACCGCCACCCTTCGCGGCCCCGTCGCCCTTCGCGCCGCCCGCGACCCCGTCGCCGCAGCCGCCTGCGACCCCGTCGCCGCAGCCGCCAGCGACCCCGTCGTCGCAGCCGCCCGCGACCCCGTCGTCGCAGCCGCCCGCGACCCCGTCGCCCCACCTGTGCGACCCCGGCGCCGCCCTACGCGGCCCGATCGCCACCCTTTGTGGCCCCGCCGCCTCCTGTCAGCGGCCCTGCCGCCCTTCACGGCTCCGCCGCCACCACCTAGCAGCCGAGCCGCCGAGACGCCGGCGCCGCCGAGCCGCCGTTGCCGCCGAGCTGCAGGCGCCGCCGAGCCGCCGTTGCCGCCGAGCTGCAGGCGCCGCCGAGCCGCCGTTGCCGCCGAGCTGCCGAGCCGCCGTTGCCGCCGAGCACCTGCTGCCGCCGAGCCGCCGAGCCGCCGAGCCGCCGAGCCGCCGCTGCCGCCGAGCTGCCGAGCCGCCGAGCCGCCGTTACTGCCGTCGCGGCCCTGTTCCTGCCGGCGAGCCTCGGTCCTTCTCGCCTGCCCGGTAAGAGCAGCGCCTCCACCACTGCACTGCCCTTGCCTGCTGCTCGCGCTGCTAGTCTACTGCTGTCATGGCTGCCCCTAGTGTCCTCACTTTTGACGCTGAGGGTCGGGCCATTGACTTTGACGTCTGGGTAGATGACCTGCAGCTTTTCCTGCTGAGCGATAGGGCAGACGGTCTCTCCCTCTTTGACCTCACTTCTGGTGCCTCTCCTGCACCTGCTGCTGATGCTGACCCCACTGTTCGCTCACAGTGGGCCACGCGCGATGCTGCTGCCCGCCTTGCTGTGCGCCGCCACTTGCCGACCGCTGAGCGTGCACACTTTAGCCAGTACAAGAGTGCTAAGACCTTGTACGACGCTGTAGTTGCACGCTACTCTTCCCCTGCCACTGCTGTGCTTAGTCGCCTCATCCTACCGTACCTCTTCCCTGACCTCGCCGCTTTTCCCACTGTCGCTGACCTCATTACGCACCTTCGCACTAGTGACACTCGCTACCGCGCTGCGCTTCCTGCTGAGTTCTGCGCCAAGAACCCCCCCCCCCCCATGTACATCACCCTCTACTACATAGTCACCCGGCTCCCTGACACCCTTCGCCCGGTCAGGGACCACTTCCTCTCTGTTTGCCCCACCACCCTCACCGTTGACCTCCTCGAGGAGCGCCTTCTAGCGGCAGAGAAGAGCATAGTCGCTGTAGGAGCCTCTCGTGGTGACCCTCGTACCCCTGTCTTTGAGGGGTGCTCCCCCTCTCCCCTCCTGCCCTCTGTTGCCTCTGCTGCTGCGGCCGACCTCGTTGGTCTTGAGTCGGTCGCTGCGGCGTCTGCCCCTAGCGGGAGACGCCGCCCTGGCAAGGGCAAGGGGGGCAAGGGTGCTGGAGGAGCTGGCGGGGGCGGTGGAGGCGGAGGTGGAGGTGGTGGAGGGGGTGGGGGTGGCGGTGGGGGTGGTGGCGGGGGTGGGGGCGTCGGTGGCGGCAGTGGAGGCGGAGGCGGAGGCGGCGGTGGCGGTGGGAGCGGAGGTGGCGGAGGTGGCGGTAGTGGAGGAGGTGGCGCCGGAGGAGGTGGAGCTGGTCGGGGTGGCGCTGCGCAGAGGGTTGGCTCCGGTGGTGGTACGCGCCAGCAGCAGCAGCAGCAGCGTACTCGTGAGACCCCTTCCCCCCAGCAGCTTCGTGAGTGGTACACTGCTCGTCAGCGGGGCGGGGGTGCTGGCCCCTGCACCTACGTTCTCCGTACCGGCGACCGCACGGGTGAGCAGTGTGGGGGGGCGCACTCCACCCAGCGCTGCTTCGGCCGTCTGACGGACGCGTGGCGTCACCAGTTCCCCGACGCTACGGAGATCCCTCGCTGGGGCGAGCTGTCTAGGGCGGGTGTTGCGATCTTTGATCTTGATTATGATGCTATTCTTGCTGCCATGTATGCTGTGACTATTAGTGATGAGGGTGACTGTTACCGGTGTTTTCCGCCTGACCCAGGCATAGAGGCTGCTGCTCTAGGTGCTGGTGAGGCTACTGCTCTAGGTGCCAGTGCGTCTGCCGCCCCAGGTGCCGGTGAGTCTGCGCTCTCAGGTACTGCGTCGTCACCTGCCACCCACACCTTCACCCTTGACTCGGGTGCTTCCCGCTCCTTCTTTCGAGACTGCACCACTCTCACGCCGCTCAGTCGGCCCGTTGCAGTCTCCCTGGCGGACCCCTCTGGGGGTCCTGTCCTTGCCCACTACTCCACTGTCCTACCGTGTCCAGCGGTCCCGTCTGGCTCCCTGTCGGGTCTTTACCTCCCCTCGTTCTCTACGAACTTGGTGGCGGGTGCTGACCTACAGGATGGGGGAGTTGACCAGTTCACCCCTGCTCGTCAGCGGGTGACTCACTGCACGTGTGCGGACACGGGCCGACACTTGGCCACGTTTACCCGTCGGCCGGGGTCGAGCCTGTACACACTGACTACTGAGTCTCCTCCAGTCGCTGAGTCTGCTCAGGTAGCGGCGTCGGGTCAGGTGTTTGCTGCGGCGTCCAGGTCTGGTCCTGAGTCTGCCCCCTGCTCGTGTCGTCTCCTGTCCCACCGGACTCTCCTCTGGCACCACCGCCTTGGTCACCCCTCCCTGCCTCGTCTTCGAGGCATGGCTTCCCGTCTTCTTGTCTCTGGCCTCCCCCGGTCCCTCCCTCCCCTTCCTCCGGGGCCTGCCCCCACCTGCGTTCCCTGCGTCGAGGGGCGGCAGCGCGCTGCCCCTCACTCCTCCGAGTTTCCTCCGACAGAGGCTCCGCTGCAGACGCTTCACATGGACGTGTGGGGCCCCGCCCGCGTCCGTGGGCAGGGTCACGAGCGTTACTTCCTGCTGGTGGTTGACGACTACTCGCGTTACACCACAGTCTTCCCCTTGCGCAGCAAGGGTGACGTCACTGAGGTGTTGATCGCCTGGATCCGCGCAGCTCGTCTCCAGCTCCGGGAGAGTTTCGGCTCTGACTTTCCTGTTCTGCGTCTGCACTCCGACAGAGGCGGAGAGTTCTCCTCTGACCTTCTGCGGGCCTTCTGTCGTGCACGAGGCATCCGCCAGACCTTCACGCTTCCGGACTCTCCGCAGCAGAATGGGATTGCTGAGCGCCGCATTGGCATGATCATGGACGTCGCTCGTACGTCCATGGTCCATGCGGCTGCCCCCCATTTTTTGTGGCCGTTTGCGGTTCGGTACGCGGCGCATCAGATCAACCTTCACCCCCGGGTCTCCAGGCCGGAGACCTCCCCTGCTTTACTGTGGACGGGGAAGGTTGGCGATGCGTCTGCGTTCCGTGTCTGGGGATCTCGGGCGTTTGTCCGCGACTTGTCTGCGGACAAGCTGTCCTCTCGTGCTGTTCCCTGCGTCTTCCTTGGCTTCCCTCCTGACGCGCCAGGCTGGCAGTTCTACCACCCCATCTCGCGCCGTGTTCTGTCCTCCTTGGACGTCACCTTTGACGAGTCGGTTCCCTACTACCGTCTCTTCCCCTACCGCACTGCGTCCCTCCCTCCCCCGCCGCTCTTCCTTACGCCAGGTCCCCCTCCGGTAGACCCCCTCCCCCCTCAGGGTCCTGCTCCCTCAGGTGTGTCCCAGGTAGATGCAGTCGAGCCTGTCGAGGTAGCTGTTGACTCTGGTGCTGCTGGGGGTGCTGAGCCTGGGGGTGCTGGGTCTTGGGGTGCTGAGCCTGGGGGTGCTGAGCTTGGGGGTGCTGAGCCTGGGGGTGCTGAGCTTGAGGGTGCTACGCCTGGGGGTGCTGAGCCTGGGGGTGCTGAGCCTGGGGGTGCTGCGCCTGGGGGTGCTGAGCCTGGGGGTGCTACGCCTGGGAGTGCTGAGCCTGGGAGTGCTGTGTCTCGGAGTACGGAGCCTGAGGGTGCTGGGCCTGCTCGTGAGGCGTCTGGTAGTGCTGGGCCTGGCGGTGCTTCGGGTGCTTCGTCCCGGCGGGAGCTACTCTCTCCACAGGAGCTGCGTGAGTGGTTCGCCCGGCGCTGGCGGCGTGCTGCTGGAGCTGGTGGTGCTGCGGACGCTGGAGGTTCTGCTGCTGCTGAGGGTGCTGGTGCAGAGGGTCCCAGAGGTGCTCGTACAGGGTGTACTGGAGCTGCTGGGCCTACGGGTGCTCCTCCTGCTGGAGCTGGTGGTGCTACTGGTGCTACTGGCGTTGGTGCTGCTGGTGCTCCTGGAGCTGGAGCTGCTGCGTCTTCGTGTGGCTTGACTGGAGCTGGAGCTACTGGGGGTGTTGGCGCTGGAGGTGCTCCTGGCGCTGGTGCTGCTGAGGGTGCTGGAGTTGGAGCTGCTGGAGCTGGGGGTCCTCCTGGTGCTGGTGCTCCCGTTGGGAGTGCTGGTGCTGTTCCTGCTGGCACTGGTGGCGCTGCGCGGCCACGGCCGTACTTCGTTCCGCTCCTTGAGCAGGTTCTTGGTCTTCCGTCCTCTCTTGGTCGCGTGTCCGCCTCCTGTCCAGACTGAGTCACAGTTACAGCCGGCCTCCCCGCTTCCTTCTCCTTCTCCCTACACTGGTCCTACTGGAGGTCTTGCTGAGCGTCGTGAGCCTGCGTCTCGCCCTGCGTCGCCTGTCCGTGCTGCTCGCGCTAGTGGTCGTGGTTCGCGTCAGCGTCCTCCCCCTGTCCCCGGCACGCACCGGATGTCTCTGCGTCCTTCCACTGCTCCGCTGCGTGCCCCTTTGCCCTCTCCTCCAGCGTCCTCTCTTCCTGACCTTCCTGACCCTGAGTCGGACTCCCTTCGTGCTGCGCGTCCTACTGTCACACGTCTCCTTGCTACTGTCGTCACTGACCCTTCCTTTGAGTCTACTGCTGCGTCTGCCCCCTTGCTGAGCTTGTCGACTTCGCTGCTCGCTGTCGCCTAGACTACGCTGCCAGTCTCGTCGCTGAGTCTGAGTCTGTCTGTCCTCCGTCCGTCGGGGGTGAGTGTGCTCTTGGCACGGACGTCCTTGAGGACAGGCAGGAGGAGTTCCAGTGCTTGGCTGCTGCTTCACCTCATCTCGTGTCCATGCTGCTTCACTCGCGCCTTGTGATCATCAGCGCTTCTGTACTCTGTTAGGTCTTGTGCCTACCTTGCCTCACTTGCTTACTTCTTGACCTTGCTTGTACTGTTACATATATATACCTGCCCTTGCTTGTTTAGCGTTATATATATGTAACCTTGCATGTGAACTGGCCTTGTGGCCTTGAACTTGTGCTCAGAATGTGTGGTGACATTGAGATCCACCCTGAGCTTGCTTTGCTTTGCTTGACTGGTCCTGTGACCCCTTGTTCTCCCCCACTTTGCCTATGGGGGTGTGTCAAACATTATGCATGTTGTAGCTTTGTAGGCTACAGTGGGTTTAGCCTTAGGGGGTACACAACTTTAGGGTTTCATATTTGTACTCCCATTCCTGTTAGTCACATTCATTCTCGTTCTAATCTTCACATAGCCCATATGGGGTACAACCCAGATTAGGGTTTCCTACTTGTACCCATCATGCTGCTAGTTCATTCATTCCTGCCTAGACTTCTGACACGTCTCGCTGCAACAAGTCCGTGACATGTCTGCAGGATACCTGCGATCTGATAACCCCGGGGGAATCTAGAAGGGGCTCATCCCCATTCTCATGTACTCCGGTTTCCTGCGATATTCGGACCTCGTCGCCATCGAGTGGCAAGACATCCAGTTCGATGACGAGGTCATGTGGATCCTAATTCCGTACTCGAAGACGGACCAAGCTGGAAAAGGCACATGGATACCTATCGCTGCAACACACGATCCGTTCTGCCCTGTCCGCTGCACTCGACGACTTATTCGACTCGCGGGATATGACCGGCAATCGGGGGGGGCACTGATTCGCACCTTCGGTCACGGTTCCACCCAAGGTGGCCAATCAAGGCCACCGTCGTATCCGACAATCCGAAACTGGTGCAAAGAGGCCTTTAGGAAGATCGGACTTGGGGAACAGCAGCTGGGCACTCAATCCTTTCGCAAGGGTGCAGCCACTGCCGCGGCAAACACCGGTGTGCCAGACAGAATCTTCAAACGGCTGGGCAGATGGCGTAGTGACCAGGGCTTACTTTATCAGATTTTTTTTTTTCTGAATTTCTGGATTTTGAACACATTTTTACTGGTTCAACTGATGTCGTAGACATGCTATTTGATTTCGTCTGATTTTTAAGAGAAGCTTTTCCTATTCGTCTGATTTCTCAGACAGCCTTAAACAGTTCGTCTGTGACTGCAGACATCGAGTTTTTTCTCGTCTGAAACAGACAAATTCCCCCACCTGGCCAGTTTCCCACCTGGCTAGTTGGCCACATGGCTTGTTGCCCAATGTTACGGACAAGACTTGCCACCCGCCACGGTACCGTGCTGCCACCGCCAGGCTGTACATTGCCTCTGGTCGGTGACAACACCGCACGTCAAATGCGCCGCAGTCACCCCGCTGCTCTGACAAGTACTTCAAATTCGTCTAAAACGTAAGACTAAGCTATAACTTTCGTCTGACCATCAGACAAGGAGCCAGGGCCCGGTCTTAACGCCAGACTGGCCATTTCACTAAAGTTAGCCCTGGTAGTGACGCAGCAAAGGAGATGTACGTCACGCCTAATGCCGAACATCTCATCAACGCCTCCCGCCAGTTGCAGGATCTGAACCATGCCCCGTCTTCAGCACAGCACGTAGAGGCACTCATCCGCTATCGAAAGCCCCTGCTACCGATGTCTCAAAGACCCAAGTTGAAATGAGAACGATGCCAAATGATAAGTAAAAGAAAGCAAGCTTTCTAAATTTTGTAATACCGTATCACCCCGGATAGTAGCGCATATGCGCTTATAATAAAATCAGTTATTTTGGAGGGGGCGCTTTTAATTGAGTATCGGCGGCCATAAGCGCCGGCGCTTATATAATGACAAATACAGAAATACAACTTTAACGCACCAAATTGTACATTTCAGTCTCGTAAGTTCAATCGCGTCGAAATTTTACTGCGTCCTGAATCAGAATCGCGCGAGGGTGATTCTCTGACGCTGCATAGAGCTTGTGGCACGTCAATTTGCCAGCGTGCCACCTCATCCTGACTGGACGCGCAACCAGTCAGGACCTCGAAAGTCAAACAAAGTGAAAATGGGTGCTGACTCGCTTGAAATTTGAAATCCGGATTGACAAATAAAATTATAATCAGGATTGACAAATAAAATTATGCATGCGCTTATAATAAATCAGGGTTTCACAGGGGGGGCGCTTATAATCGAGTTCCGGCCATAAGCGCCATGCTCCAGATAGAAAAGCCGGCGCCTTTAATCGGACGGCGCCTATATCCGGGGCCATACGGTATTTAAACATACGAAGTGTTTTTCAAAATTACGTATTTCGAAAGCGAAGCTGATTGTAACGCATGTTTTGGCATCGTCGAAGCGCGCTAAACGCCCTTCTCCAACTACAAATCGTGGGTTGGAGCTCATTTCCCTCCACCCACGTCTCTCATTTTTCCAACAGCTCATACAACTCTCCCACCCCCCGCCCCAACACTGATGGACATCACTGACCCCGCTTGAACAAGAAGATCGATAGCCAGTAGCATGATAGGTAGCAAGTATCATGATGAATAGCTAGTACAATGATTGAGACGTAGTATAATAACATGTACTAACTCTTCTGTTTCATAGCTCGAGAAGCATGTTGTAATTTGCCAGTTGAAGTTGAAATGAGAACGATGCCAGTTGAAATGAGAACGATGCCGAATGATAAGTAAGAGAAAGCAAGCTTTCTAAATTAATCAATACTGAACTTAGCTAACTACGCAACCCTTCCGACGATATCGTCGAGTCCTGTCTCAATATTGATTCCGTAGGTTCAAACATGCCTATTGCCAACCCAATACGAGGGGACTACTACGACTTTTGATGGTAACTAAGAACAGTGTAGCGCACGAAGCGAGTGCAAGTTGCAGCAACTCATGATGGGTTGATGTGCCAGAAGAAGACCCCGCGTAACTTGTTGCGAGCCTCAATCTCCGAATCTGATGGTTCATTGTTGCGACAGCGATTCGCACTGGAAGAGGCGTGGGTGATGACAGGTGACAAATTGAGTAAATAAAGATGGGAGAATGAATGCTGGTTAAAGGGGGGTTGCAGGGCAAAGGTGGGAGCCAAGTATGGGAAAAGACAGGGATAAGAGATGAGAGGGATGGGAGATGAGAGGGATGGGAGATGAGAGGGATGGGAGATGAGAGGGATGACATGGGTGGGAAACGGCAAGCATGTACGGTGGCATGCGAGGGAAGAGGGCATGGAACAGTGATTGGGGTGCAGCAGCGGCAGTGAGAGCAGCAGATCCCACCCCACCTTCCCCACTCGCACCTGGCCCTTATGGAAGTCACAGACGCGGCCTGCTCGGAGCGACTGGGCGTAGTCGCGCAGGAAGGTGTCCCTCACCCACCACTCAGGGCCCTGCCACCACCACGCATGCACCACAACCACGCATGCACCACAACCACGCATGCACCACCACGCATGCACCACAACCACGCATGCACCACAACCACGCATGCACCACAACCACGCATGCACCACAACCACGCATGCACCACAACCACGCATGCACCACCACAACATGCACCACCACCACAACATGCACTACAACCACGCATGCACCACAACCACGCATGCACCACAACCACGCATGCACCACCACCACAACATGCACCACCACCACAACATGCACCACAAGCACAACATGCACCACAACCACCACATGCACCACAACCACAACATGCACCACCACAGCATGCACGCGCGGGGAGAATGATTCTTGGGTGACGACAGCAGTGCGGGCGAGCATGGTGGAGGGGGCGATTGGGAGGGAGGTGATGCGCACTTGCTATCAACAAGGCAAGGCGCTCATTCCTCACCCACCCACCCTGGCATACCACCAACACTCGTAGCTTTCGTGCCTACCCTCGTTGAAGCGGCTGTGTGTGTTGGGGGGCGCACCTGGTCGTCATTGAAGAGCTCGGAGCACCAGTGGGAGGGGGCGCTGAAGAGGTCCTGCAGGTGGTTGTACACCGCCCCCTCCGTGCGCACATCCACCTCCCCGCCCTCGCCCCCCCCCGCCCGCGCCTCAAAAGCCCCCAGCGCCTCCACCTGGCGCACCGGGATTGGCAGAGACAGCGCACATGAGATGGTGAGGCGTGCGCTTTGCAGGTGTGGGGTGTGCACAGTGGTTACGGAGGGGGGCGATGGGGGGCGATGGAGGGCGATGGTGGGCGATGGAGCGCGATGGAGGGCGATGGTGGGCGATGGAGGGCGATGGTGAGCGATGGAGGGCGATGGTGGGCGATGGAGGGCGATGGTGGGCGATGGTGGGCGATGGTGAGCGATGGTGGGCGATGGTGGGCGGAATGGTGTGGCAGACCTTGCGGGGGTCGACGATGGGTTTGCGGTAGCCGGTCTCTCCGAGGCAGAGGTTGGCGTCGGGGAAGGCGGTGGTGTCGTGGCAGACGGGCCACGGCCAGCGGTACACCATGCGCTCCATCCAGAACTTGCCCCCGCCCTGTGGGCCCGCAGGGAAGTCCAGCGAGCACTTGGCGGTGGACCACCACAGCGACCCCACCGTCACCACCGCTGCCGCCCCGTGTGCGCGCAGGAAGGCGGGCAGCGCGGCAGGCTGGGAGCCGGTGAAGAGGAACTCGTTGAGCTCCGCCGGCACCACCCAGCGCGCCGTGTACCCCGCCCCCCACACACAGTCCTGCGCCGCCAACCCCTGCCATGCCATGCCATGCCATGCCATGCCATGCCATGCTCGCACAGGGGGCAGCGGAGGAGGAACACTCAGATTGGAAGGTTGACAGAATTGAGAAGGAAAGGCATGGAGTGGAAGAAG